CGTCAAATGTGACATCTCTGCTAATAACTATCTTCTTGTCCTGTGGATCCCATAACTTGAAGCCTTTGACTCCATCTCTAAATCTCACAAAGACTGCTTTCCTCGCTCTCGGATTTAATTTACCATCACTGACATGATAATAAGCTGGACACCCGAATATCCGAAGCGACTCATAGTCACTAGCCACCGAACCAAACCAACGCTCCAAAGGAGTCTTCCCGTCTATCGCAGTGCACGGCAACCTGTTCACGAGATGGCTCGCATAAACTAACGCCTCGGCCCAAAAAGATCTAGGCAATTCACTCTGCGTCATCATACACCGCACCTTCTCTAGCAAGGTACGGTTCAATCTCTCAGCCACCCCGTTCTGTTGCGATGTCTCTCAAACTATAAAGTGTCTTCTAATGCCGTGATCCCGACAAAACTGTAGAAACAGATCATTCTTGTACTCTTTACCGTTATCTGAACGTAGAGTCTTCACCTTTCTACCTGTCGGCAGCTCCACTTTCTTCTTCCACTCCACAAAAATATCCAGGACCTGATGTTTATGTTTCATAGGGTATACCCAATTCCTCCTGGAATAGTCATCAATAAAAGTGATAAAATAGTTAGCCCCACCAAGATATGTGTTCTTGGAAGGACCCCAAACATCTGTGTGAATGTAATCCAATGTACCTCGGGTGTTATGAACAGCGGTGCCAAACTTCACTCTAGTCTTCTTCCCAAGCACACAGTGCTCACACAGCTCCATCTTGCAGGTCTTAGCACCTTTTAATAGCCTCTATTTTGCCAATGACTGTAGGGACTTATCACTTGTGTGTCCAAGTCTCATGTGCCATAAGGTGGTAGTGTCCTCCTCTATAGTGATAGAAGCTGCCAGACCCCCTGTAACTGTCTTGCCCTTCAAGTAGTATAGGTTATTTTCCCTGACTCCTCGCATCACCACCATAGAACCCTTCGTGACCTTCACTGTAGCATCCTCTAAGATCACTCGATATCATGCTGCCTCCAAAGTCCCAAGAGAAATGATGTTCTTCGTCAACTACGGCACGAACCTCACTTTCTTCAATTCCCTCACTATACCATCATGCATCCTAATCCGGACTGAACCAATACCACCAATAGGGCATACGTGGTCATTACCCATAAGCACGACATCCCCTCTTTCTAGCTCCTTAAAGCTAGAAAATCACTCCCTCTTAGGGCAGATGTGATATATAGCTCCCGAATCCATCATCCACTCCGTGGAATCCGCATAGCACTCCCTCTTAGGGCAGATGTGATATATAGCTCCCGAATCCATCATCCACTCCGTGGAATCCGCATAGAAAACCGACGGTAAAGCAGGGCATGAATAGCCTGAAAAATCTGAATTTGAATGCTCACCAATAGCTTTTGCAATATTCACCTCTGAAGCGTGTGCAGTTTTCCCCTTATTCTTCCCAGCTTTTTTTTCACTTTGGGCAGTCAATCTTCCAATGTCCTTCTTCTTTACAATACCAATATTGATTCCTACCAACACTCTTATAGGCACTCCTATTCCTTGATTTTGAGCGGTTGAACTGGCGACGGTTTGGATCTCGGCCTCGAACTGCTAACGCATCTCCCGATGCCTTCTCGGAGGGTTCACCATCACTCTTCCTCAACTCATAGTTCACCAAAGCTGAGGTCACCTCCTTGTAGCTGACTGTAGTTCTTCTATTGATCATAGTGAGAACGAATGTACCATAATCATCTTCGGGCAACGAACACAGAAGTAGCATCGCCTTGTCTTCATCCTCAACTATAATGTCCACATTGGCCATATCTGAAAGTAGCTTAGTGAAGTTGTTGACATGCTCCTGATGGAAACTCCCCTCTTCATCTTGAACTGGTAAAATATCTTCTTCAAGTGAAGCCGATTCTCAATGCTCTTCATAAGATATTTCTCATTGAGTGTTTCCCACATCTTCTTCGTCGACGTCTCGTTCATGACATCGTAAATAAGATCCAGCGTCAAGCATGACCTAATAACACCACAAACTCTACTGTTCATCTTCCTCCAAACATTATCCTTCATCTCTGCGGGTTTCTCTTTTAACTCAAGATTCTCCTCCAAATTCTGTGCATCCAATGCATCCATCACCTGACACCTCCACAATCCAAAATTGATCTTGTCATCGAACTTAGGAACATCAATCTTCGTGTTATTGATGCTCAGACTCTGTATCGCCTTTGTTAGAGACGAACATGATGTGCTTGCATCTCCCATGTTGTCGATCTAGCTCTGATACCAATTGTTGTGTGCGACGGAAGCTTTTCTTGTGCAATCACGAACAATAACTCGAACTAAGTCACAACTAATATGCAAACACAACCACAGCAAGAACAAACAATTTACGTGGTTCGGCAAGTTGCCTACGTCCACGGGGCAAGGGGGAGGGATTTCTTACTATTAGAAATCAGAGAATACAAGTAGAGTTACAAATCTCTCAGATCAAACCCTAAAACAAAGCTCTTGATCTCTCACAACTCTCCCACAATTGGATGCAACAATCCTCTCTCAAAGACTGCTCAAATTCGTCCTTACTTAACCCTAACAAATCAGGTTTAGGGTTATATATAACTCATAAACGAATCGGGTCAAAAACCGAAGCCCAGCCCAGAAATCATCGACGGTCGACTGCGGCGGTCGACCGCGTAGGTCTCGCGGTCGACCGCGGCGGTCGACCGAATCACAAACCCGAGAGCTAAATCACAAACGCGAGAGCTAAATCCTTTACAGTCATTCGTGGTCGACCGCGGCGGTCGACCGCCATCAACTCCGAATCCCAGTAAGTCTGCGTGCACGTTTGCGGTCGATCGCGGCGATCAACCGCCAGTCTGTCTGATTTCTGTCTGGCTGATTCTCTGCTTTTTCCTGTAATTCTTCAAATACAGTATCAAGCAAAAGCACATGTGATGTAATTAAGGGTTCAAAAAAAATCTGTAACTATGGATATATGAGTATCACCAAACACGTATACTTGGTAGAATATGAATACAGATATATAAATCTGAAGCATCTAAATATACATCATTCATGCAATATAATTGTAATTATTTTTACTATTAGATTAATGGATATGAGGTTAGTTTTAATAATTCAAAGATCTAATCTACGAGGATTTTTTTAGATCTGTAATAACACATAGTGATGGACTCTCTTATATCATATGACCCATATAATTTTCAACCTTGTACTCAATTCTAACATTTGTTTGGTCTCCATATATATTTTCTCTTATTTGTCCTGCGTCCAGAGGAAGAGCTAGTAGAAATTTACCCTAGCTAGGTGGGCGAAGATAGACAGGTGCTCTATTACGTATTTCATTAATAAAAATTACTTTATGACAAATTTAGATTTGTGTGCCTTTTCTTTCGAAGATGCTCGTCTTAATTTTTTTTTACAGAAGTTACAACAATCGTCAAATTCATATCACTAACGTATACAAAATTAATAATCTGTGTTTCATTCTCATAAACTTCAGAAGATACATCAAAATATGTCGATCTAAAGCATAATATTTCAGATATCTATAAAGAAAGTTAATCCACATATGAAATTTATCTACTTTAGGCCATATGAAAATACAAGTATATAGAGATGAAGGGGGCCATGAAGGAAAAAAATCAGGCCCATCATCATTATCATTATTCGTGGCCCCACAAACAGCAAATTGCTATCCACATGCTGCCAAATGTGCCATTCTGCTGATGCCACCTGGACTTTTGAGTCCCTTGCAAGTGTTGCTAACTGTTTGCTGCTCATAATGAGAGAGAGAGAGAGAGAGAGAGAGAGAGAGATCCTATCCATAGAATGTGGGAGGAGGAAGTGGACTTTTATTACATGCCTACAGAAAAAACTGCCAGGTATGGCAAGAAAACATGTTGTTTGAACAGCAGCAGTCAAATGTAGTAAACAGTTTAACAAAATCCTGCAGTAATTTTTGGCAAAAGTAAAAAAAAAAAAAAATCATCCAATTCTTTCAAAGAGCTTGGTTCCATGAACAGCAATCAATAGGCAGAGACGTCAGTTGAATTGTAACAAAATTGTCATTATTTCATTTATTTACAAATCATATTTAATTATATCACTTTTTTTTTTAATTTCTACCCTCTTAATAATTTTTCTTCTCTGCTCGGAAGAAAAAGGCAGAAAAAGACAGAGACAGTAAACGACTCTCAAACTTTTTAATAATCCTTTTTTCTCTCATCCTTTGGATTCCTCTCTTCCCACTTTAAAAAAACAAAAAAGGAAAAATTAAAAAAAAAACCCTAATTCAGTAAAAATCTCAGCCCCAAAAGCTCAAAGCTCTCATCTCTTTCTCAGCTTTCTCTCTCTCTCTCGAGCTCCAATGGATCCCAAAGACGCCAACAACAACAGCAACAAGGCCTCGACCTCGTCGGAGCTCCAAATAGTCCCCGCGTCCGACGACCCTCACCGCAAACCCCTAGCCCCGAAGCGGACCTCGAACAAAGATCGCCACACGAAGGTCGACGGCCGAGGCCGGAGGAATCCGGCAATGCCTGCACCTCTGCGACCGCTCGAATCATCCTTTCAATTAACGCGCGAAACTAAGGCACAAATCCGGACGCCGAGACGAATTTCCAGGTGGCTCCTCACCAACGCGGAGCCCGCCAATCGTCGCAGCACCGGGTCGGGCACGATACCGCACTCGGCGGCTAGTCGTCCGTGCCCGGCCCGTACGCCGCGGCGGCAGAAGGGGGCGGGGCCACCACCACTGGCTGTGTCGGTTCGGTCGGGGCGAGGCTCGTCGAATCTAGGGTTATCAGCACGGCTGGAGGATGGGGGGGAGGCTGGGGGGATGAGCTTCACCTCGATGCTCGGGGCAGCACGGGCAGATGCCGGGATGCAGCTTTGGTCTCGCAGGAAGGGCCATCGGGTTTTGAGCCGGCAGGCACTGAAATCAGTTCTATCAGACAGATTTGGCACGGGAGGGTTGGGGAACGCAAATTGCAGCATCCCAGCCAGCAGCAGAATCAGCAGCAGCAGCAGCAGCAGCAAGACCAGGGATCGATGGGGAAGGAGGACTCGCAAGATTCGAGTCAATGATTTGGTGCTTGAATTTGAGATTGTTAGTAGGAAAATTAGAAATCTTTTTTTTTTGGTGTAGATTTGTGGAGAACGGGAGGAATGGTGGATCTGGATGTTGGATCTGGATGTTGAGGTTCTTCTTCTATCTGATGAAATTCTCGGTAAGGCAGTAACTTTTAGCTCAGGGTTAAGTGTGCATAGACCCTTTGTAGTGTCTCGTAGTGCTACTTGTTATCCCCCTTCTTAAATTGGTTATAGTTGTGATTATATGATTTTTGCAGGTGTAGATGGAAGGATAGAGATAATTGGATGGGGGACTATATAGCGTTTTATTCCTTTTCAGGTGTGTAGATATTGTAAGAGTTAAATTTTGTGCAATTTCTAGTTAAATTTTGTTGGCATTGTGATTGGCTTGTTTTCTGAACATTGAAGCTTGTCATTTTCATTTATTTATAATGGTTTGAGTGCTTAATTTTGTCGAATGTTGCCTTTTTTACCGAGGGTTTGCAAAGAAAAGGATATATTTATCTGTGATGCTTTAAGTTCTATGGTTTTACTCAATGTTTTTAGTAGTTTTTAATTATATCGCAGCTAGTAATATGTTCATTGTGTTACGTTGATTAGTTATATTGCTTCTTTTGCTGTGTAACCGAATCAGTATAGATTTTTGAAGGTTTATTCATTTTCTAAACCTGCACTGTGTGATTAACTATTTGAGTTTCTAGCAACTTGGGACGTTTGTTACTCCTTGTAGGCTATAGGTTCATACAACTGCATGTCTACATGTTCTGTTTTTATTTTGTTTGACATAGAAAGGATTTTGATATTATAATTCCATCTGCTTGCAACTTTGCATTAGATTGTTAGAGTGATTTATATCTTAATATTTATAGCAAAATAGTCGTTAACTCGTTTTATTATATCATTGCACCTAGTTGTATTTGGGGTTGTGACCCTAAGTGTTTTCTCTATGATTTGTATAGTTCCGCTGAAATGGACAATGGATTCACATCCAAAACAAGTGTGTAAAGTGTTTGTTTTAACCTGTTGCAAGTGATATTGGTCTGCTGTTTCTCTCAATCACTAGCAATTAAATTAAAGCATGATGATAAAATAGACACACTTAGAAATATTGAAGCATTCCTTCAACTTTGGAATGATCGAAACACATCACCGTAGCTTGACCGACTTTTCTGTACACCATGAAGAAAGTCGTGAGGACAAACCAGTAATGCAGCAGAATTCAAATAACCCAAACGTCAACTTTTTTAGGCTTATAGCCCCGGGTCTTAGATCTTTAAAATTCTCATTGGATCAGTTACATAATGATAAAACTGTATGAAAATATTAAAGATTAATTTGACACGAGTGTACTTTTGATCTGAAAGAAATTCAGACGTGCAGCAAAACATTTGAGACAGCCAGTAGCTTTTGTGCATCAGATCAAAAACTAAAAAAGAATGTATTCTTTGAAGGATGGATCAAATTTGGTTTATACTTGGTTTCAGTGTTATTTAGAGACACTTGCATGTCATTGAGCTCAAAAGTCAACACTTAGTTTTGATCGTGTTCTGACCGTACACCAAGCTGTATTGCCTTTCTTAATTTCGTACGGATTATAACATCGTCATGAACCTCAATTCTTGATCTATTCCACTTTGAAGCTAAGATTCAAGAGGATTCTAGTTGCACATCTTAGTTGGCGTCATCCTCTTGTTGGGAAAAATGAGAAATTTGATGGGTTGTTCTCCTTTCTCTTAAATTAAATTGGATTAATGAAACAAAAAATAATCAAATGATCAAATGAAACTCTTAGCATACACTAGTATTTTTAACGTGAAAACCGCCTCAATTGAAAGTGAAAACAATATGACCTAGTCGAGAAAAATCCCCACTATCAAGATAATGGGTACACAATAAATAAATAAGAAAACAAGAGACTTCTATACACCTGAGAGAGTGATAAAACGCTCAACTCATTTTTCTCATTTTGCACGGGAACTATTTATAGATGCATTTATAGATGCAGCTCTCCACCTACCTTCACATATTTTATAGATGCAGCTTATAGATGCATTTATAGATGCAGCTTTATAAATGCGTTTATAAATGCGTTTATCAAATAATCAAATGCATTTATAGATGCAGCTTCCATGAATTATACAGGAACCCGTAAAAATGGAGATCTACACATAGGATGACTACTAGCTCAGAATTTTTGATTTGTCACCTCTCCGCCTACCTTCACATATTTTCATTGCAATCACATGGGTTTTGACGACTTTGCAAATGTGTATAGTCACATCTCCATAGATAAGAGGGACTTACTACAACACTCTCCCTCTCGACTATTTAGAGTTCGTCTTTGCTAGTTTCAAATGGAGGTTAAAGTTATCCCTCAGAATAGCCTTCATCGTCCTATTGGCGAGATTAATGCGTGTGGTCACATCTTCATAATAGGGGTGACCTTCGACAATTCTCCCCCTCCCGGCTATTTGGAGAGGTCCATATTTGCCAGCTTTAAACATAGATGAAACTTATCCCTAAAAATAGCCTACGTCATCATATCGATAGGATTCTCTCCTAGAGGTGGAGAATTATTGTGGATCGCTCCTATTTATAGAGATGTGACCACACATTTGCGAAGTTGGTAGATTCGTGATTTTGCAATGAAAAAATGTGAGTGCAGCAAGAGAATGTGATAAATCAAGATTTGTGGGCTCGTAATCACATTTTGTGGGTAGCTCACCATTTTATGGGGACCTTTCTAATTTATATTGAAGTTGCATCTATAAATAACCTTTCATCCCATTGTTTGAATGTAGTAGCAAGACTCAAACTATGGAGAGTTTTGAGTATTAGGGAGAGAAAAGAAAGTGCTTATCACCTCTTTTGTGTTCCTTCTCATGTATCGAAGTCCTCTTTTCGTTCCTACTTATTTTGACTATGTTACACTGGTGCTGGTATGAGACGACAAACATGTAAAGGGTAGGATACAATGAGGGAGATAGCTATATATACATATTGAAGTTAATAATTTTACTTCGGATTGATTTTGTTTTTTCAATGACATGTTATGAAAACTAACATTCTTATAATATTTTTATATCTCATTTATTAAGTAGATTATAAATTGGAAAAGTGCTCATTTATTAACTACATGTTTGAATGATCCTTTAAAACCATACTTCTAAACTGGGTATGGACTGAGATGAATCCATATGCGTCCATCAAGTTGCAGGAAGTGGACGTGACGCATAAGATGCATGTCTAAGTAGTGTATGACGAGTGTTTTAAATTAAGACGTGTTATATAATTGGGTGCGCACCTGAATAAATGTATACATATTCAAGGATTGCCCAAGGAGTATCGGAATCAGACAAGTGTCGGACATGGGTACGGGAGTCTGGACAAAGTGTCGGGTTGTTAGTGTACCTCTAGCAAGTGCTTCAAACTCTGTGTACACATTATTTTGATAGTAGAGATTTTATGCACTATGTTCACTGAAGAGCTTTCCACATTAAACAAGTTTCTACTGTTTTTTGGCACTTTGGTTTTGAGAAATAAGCTTGTGAATCCGTAACATACCAGTTTTTCGTACACCATTTGAATGAACATCAAAATTTTAAAGAATTCTGACTAATAGAGAACGATAATTTTTCAGCCGGCAATGGTACTGTGGAATATTATGCATGCTAAACAGATAAGTGATGACTGATAAGCTTGAAAATGTTTCTAAATACACATTGTTGGGAAACCACCTATGGGCTTGAGCATAGTTTTAGTGATTTGTGAGCTTTGAATGCTTTTTTCTTTTGTCTGGGTTGTGATTGGGGATGGAAATTGATTGAATAATTAGCAAATAGTTTGTTAATTGTTAGTCTAATCAGTTGTGTATACGTTATCCGTCAGTTCATTTTAGTAATCAAATAACTTTTAGTATTCGATTTACAATTATTAAAGAGTTCAATTTAATTAGCTGTATATTCAATTCAATTGATTACTAACTATATGGTTATATATTGCATTTTAGTGTTTGAGTGTGAATTTTTGGAAGATATGAAAAGATTTTGTCCATGTATGAATAAGTATAATAATATTTATATCTGTGTGTGCGTGTGTGTGTGTGTGGGGGGGGGGGGGGGGGGGGGGGGAGGGGGAGGGGGGGG